AGTTTCAAGTCGGCGTTCTTAACGAATTTTCGCCGACGCCATTTCCTACTTAGCGGCATTTTGATAAAGCCGTCAGAGTGATTTTCAACGATTCTCGTCGACCAATTTCCAGAAGTGCCGCGCTGCACACCGACAATGGCTTACTCAACCACTTCACTCGCCAACCCGATCCCGCTCCTTCGTCTCGAGCCGGACGGCACATGCTCCAATTACAGGCATTGCGCTATGGTGTCGACAAGCACCTCCTCAGTCGCGAGGTGAAGGGGCTCGAGCTCACCGACGTCCTTCTCAACATCGGTGACGGCAAAGAGCCTCCCACCAACAATGGCTTACTCAACCAGTTTATACTGCTGCACTTCTCAAGTACAAGAATTGGGAGAAGGCCGATGGTGCGGTCATTAGTGTCTTCATGGGCACCACTCCTCCCGAACTCGTCGAAACCTACCACAACTACCCGTCTGCCAACGCCATTTGGCTCTACCTCGAAGATCGCTTCCTGAACAAGACTGCAGTGGGAGTTGCTATACTCATCCCCTGCATGTTCCAAGTGCGGCTCGAGGACTCGCCAGGCATGACGGACTATGTCACCAAGGTGCAGTCCATTCATGGTGAACTCAAACAGTTGGGGATAGTCTTCCCCGAGCAAGCCCCTGCAGCCGCTCTCCTTGTCGGCCTCACTCCGGCATACGAAGTCACATGCAAGATGCTCTTGGGCCTTGCTCCTGCAGACCTCACATTTGCCAAGGTCTCATCCGCGCTCCTTTCTGCCGAAAAGGACAACAATGCTCAAGCCAAGGCCAATGAAATCCGCGCTCCCGTGCCTCAAGCCTATGCCGCTTCGGCACCATTCCAGCGCAACCGCATTCGGCGTCATAAAGCGCGGCCCTCGTGCCGACCAGGTGTGTGGCGGCACCAACCACGCCCTTGCCTCCTGCTTCAAGAAGAAGGATGACGAGTGGTATGCCGTCAATGGGACCGCCTCGAAGCCGCCAAGCTGGATGGTCAATCGTGCTCCTCGCAAAGGTCAATCAAGTTGAAGCGCAGGAATTCGTGCAGGCTGCTGTGGCTGCACCTACTGATGTGCGCCTGAACATGTTGTTCCCTGGCACTGCCATGGTTAATGAGACAATTTCGCAGTGTCCCAGCTCACAAACCACCTCACCCACAATAGAGTTCACCCTCGACAGTGGGGCCACTCACAAGGAACAACACTCCTTCAAGCCATACGAGACACCAATCCGTCTACTTGGAGAAGACTCCAGTTTCAAAACACACGCCAAGGGCTCCTCCACAATTCCGTGCCCAGCTTTTCCTTCGGGCAGTGTCACTGGTATGTGTGTTCCCACACTACGCCACAATCTCGTGGCCCAACACGAGCTCCAACGGGCAGGCGTCACCACGATCTTCCCAGGACACTCGGATCACTGTGACCTCCTCGACCCTAAGCCCAACAAGCTCCTAGCACGCTTCACACTCAACAGCAACAAGCTATACACGCTGCGTTCACCTGCACCTCTCGCCGCCCTCTCCCAAGCGCAAGCTGCCAGCACCACTCCGTGTTCGTGTCGCAGCTTCGCCAACCCAACCATCCTCTACCACCATCGCTTGGGTCACCCCAACTTCTGTACACTTGCCGACATCTCTTCCAAGGGACTTCTTCTTGGCCTCCCGTTGGCGCTTCCTCCACCAACAGACTCGCCTGCACCCACCTGCCTGGACTACACCAAGAGCAAGCTCAGGCAGCAGCCGCACCCTTCCTCCCCATCCGTCGCAGCTGCTCCGCTGGACCTAGTGCACATGGATGTCTGGGGCCCAGCTCCAGTCGCATCCCGAGGCGGTCATCGGTACTTTCTTACACTAGTCGATGACCACTCGCGGTATGTTTCTGTGCACCTCCTGCATACCAAGGCAGAGGCACCTGATGTCATCATGGCGTGGGTGCGCCAGGCTCAAGTCACGTTCGGCACTCCTCTGAAGTGCCTCCATTCTGATGGCGGGGGAGAATTTTGCAATGGCAAACTCGATAACTTCTGTGCGGCCCAAGGGATTCGACAAACCTTCACGCTCCCCGAAAGCCCGTAGCAGAACGGCATTGCAGAGAGCCGCAACCACACCTTGGTTCAGATCGCTCGCTGCCTCCTCAGTCACGCCAACGCACTACGGTTTCTCTGGGGATATGCCCTCTTCCATGCGGCACTCCTCTACAATCTTTATCCGCATCCCAACCGGCCCGACACCATACCTACCGCTCTCTGGCTTGGGGTCACGCCTTCCGCCCGCTCTCTACGCGTCTGGGGGTGTACCGCGTATGTGTTGCTAAGCCCCCACACACGCAGGAAGCAAGGTGGCAAGCTTGGTCCCAAAACCCAGACCTGCATGTACCTAGGGCACAACTCCGACTCCCCAGACTACTTATTCCTCAACCCAATCACCAGACAGCTGATTCGCAGCCGTGATGTCGTCTTCGATGAGACACGCCCATTCCACTCTGCGACCACGGGCGAGCCTCCTCCACCTCCCCCGACGCTTGTTTGGGCAGACTTCGATGCCCCACCCCCGGCCGCTGCCCCTTCTCCAGGACCTTCTCCGTCAGGCGTGTCTAACCAGGCCTCCCCAGTATCCTCAGCAGCGGCACCTCCTTCTGCTCCGCCTTCCCCGCGCGTCGAGCCCGGCTCACTAGTCTCCTATCGGAGGCGCCCAGTCCCTCCGGTCCCACCGCAGCCGCCTTCGTCTCCGGTCTCTAGTCGCACTCGTTCCAAGGGACCGGCTCCGCCTCTCGCCTGGGGACCAGCCGCCTTCTCCATCCGGTGTTTGGTCACCCCGCCTCCTCCTGCCGGGGGTGATGTCCCCTCCATCCGTATTCCCCCCCGTGCACTTCTGGAGGACAGGCATGAGGAGCTGTTTGACCTTCACGCGGTCTGCCAATTTCTCTCTCACATCTTCCCGGACATTGTTGGTGCATATTCGTTTGCACGTCATCCTGTCGTCTGTTCGCATCATTTCGTTGCATGTGTTTTGTGTGCTACGTCGTTTGTATGGTTTGTTGGGTTTGCATGTCTTTGCATGTTCATCTTGTGCTTGTGCAGATGTGCTTGGATTTTACATCAGATCGAGCGCATTCCAACGAGCCAAGAATTGTTGGAATCGGAGCACATATGAAGAAGTTACGAAGAAATGTTTGATGGATTTGTTACAACTCATTGGAAGTCCTTGGCAGCTGCTACACCAAAGTTGGAGAGCCCTATAACGAGGAGGGACCAGCATGTGTGGGGCTTTTGTCCCCACCTTGCAGCTGCAGCACTTGGGGTTTGGAGACCAACCTGGCACAGTGTGAATTTTGTCTTGCCAGGCTGGCTGAACCTGAGGATGGGGAGTCAAGACTTTGACTCTTGTCATGTTCTTGACCAAGGGCCTCCAGGGTCCTTCCCTTTCATCCTTCCCTTCCCACCCCACCTTCCAACTATGCTTCAATGCCTTTTCCATCATGCCTCTGAACTTGTAAGCTTCAATTATAGTGACTCTGAGGACTGTCAAGTTCTCCTAGGGCAGATTACCCCCCAGTGCGCCAAACGCCATAGCTCACTTGTTAAGCTACGGAATCAAGTGATTAAAATTTCAGTGGAAAGCTGACGCTGCAAGCTACAACATATCCGATTTTCAGATCGTTTCATCGATTGGAGTTTTGGATATAGCTTTTCGAAGGTCGCGAGTTTTCTGGGCGTCATAACGAAGTGCTGCAGAAAATTCCAAGGAGCCATTGAGTCATCTGCTTATAGCCTTCTCTAACCAACAAGTGGTATCAGAGCCCATTATCACGCATTTGGGACCTAATATACGATGGGAGATAAGGAGGACTCTGGTGGAGGTGATACTTCAGTCCAAGGAGGCAGCTCAACCCAAGATTCTGGCATTGCAGAACAAAGGGAGCGCGTACAAGCCAGGGGTCACTGCTTAAGGAGGTGCTGAAGAACTTCACCATTGAGAAGTTCTCTGGAGATGGCTATGATGATTGGGCATGGAAGATGCAGCTCTACTTTCGACAAATTGGCCTCTTGAAGCTCATGATTGGAACGGAGCCAAGGCCAAAGGAAATGGCAGAGCAAGCGGTTTGGATGAACGTTCATCTGCTGGGTATTATCTACTGTCACAAAGCTTGGAGCTGAACCAGAGGCATCACATCATGCATCTGCTACCGGAAACTGATTGTGGGCCCAAGGCATGGGCAGTGCTCAAGGACCTGCATGGTCCGACATCGGTTGCCGCTTCTCTCATGCTGGATCGGGAGCTGTCCATGCTGAGGTTGAGCGAGAATGAACCTGTGCAGCCCGTTCTGGACAAGATGAGGGAACTCTACGCGAAATTGGCGATTGCAGGCATCACGTACGCTGAGCAGACTAAGTGTCTCAAGATGCTCAGCCTGCTGCCCGAGTCTTGGCTGCAATTTATAAGCGGACTCAGCTTGCCACAAAACCAAAGTCAATGGACATTGGAGTGGATTCGCACCAAGATTCTGGAAGAAGATTTTCGTCGCTATACACTGCGCGGAGGTGATGACAGCACCAGCGGCTATGCCATGCAAGGGACATGGAGGGATCGAGGGCGTGGCAATCGCGGTCGCTCTCACTACAGCCAAGGTGGCTGCGGGACTTGGAACCAGCGGGGGCGTGGTGGCGCTGGTGCAAGAGGAAGAGGTGTCACTCCAACAATGACAACAGTGAACCACGCTTGAGGGGAGAGTGCTGGTATTGCAAGGAAGAAGGCATCCATGGTTTCGCTGCTCTACCAAGCCCGACTGGTGGACCCCTTGGAACCAATCGCAAAAGGGGAATGGAGGAAAGCAACCACATGGAGGTGCCAACATGGTAGCTGATCCTGCTGAAGAAACCTCTAAGAATGACAGAGGAATGGGAAATGAGGAGAGGAATGCTGGACAGTTCTACCATGTGTGTGACAAAGATGACAGTGGCACAGCTGTTGCAAGGGCTGGAGAGGAATTGCACCCGCTTGACATGTGGGTCATGGACTCTGGTGCTGCAGGAACAATGACACCATGCAAGGACTTGCTGGATGCTGTGCGAGTGCCTCCAATCTCTGAAGTGCGCTCAGCATCCGGACATGCAGTGAAGGTCGCTGGAGTTGGTCGAGCTGCATTCAGAGCACCTGATGGTGGACTGGTTGTGCTGTAGGACGTGTTACTTGTACCAGGGCTGAAGGGGCCAGGCCGGAGTCAGCACCACCACCAACGGATCCAAAACATTCAAGGGGCTGCGAGGAGATCGTGTGTTATGGGATTTACACGAAAGCAGAGATGTCTTCAGATCCATGTGGCAGATCCCTGCACTGATATGGGAATCAACAAAGAAGGAGTTGGGAATAGTAAAGGCGGGATCTGGAGTCCAGGGGGAGTGCAAGGCAGTTAGTGCTGCAGGAGTGACGGTTTCTGCAAGGTCGGGGGAGACTGATTGGGAAACCGCACACAGGCGTCTGGGGCATGTGGCTATGCCATTGCTGCAGCAACTGCATAAGGAAGGAGCAGTAAAGGGGCTGAAGCTGTCTGGGCAACCAAATGATACCAAGTGCGAGACGCGTCTGCTGAGCAAGTTCACACGGTTCCCCTTTCACGGTGTAGCTGGGAAAAGCAAGGCAGCACTGGAACTGGTGCACATGGACCTGGTAGGACCTTTTCCAGTTCGAGGAAGTAAGGGGGAAAGGTACTTCCTGACAATAGTTGATGACTGGAGTCGGCTGATGTGGGCATACCCGTTGAAGCAGAAGGATCATGCTGCCTCAACAATACAAGATGACTGGCTGCCGTTCGTCGAGCGACAATCTGGGCACCCATGCAAGAGCATCAGAACCGACCGAGGTGGAGAGTTTCTAGGAGGAGATCTGACTGCGTGGCTCAAGAAACAAGGCATTGAGCATCAGCTAACGACGTCCTATACCCCTCAGTCAAATGGCGTTGCTGAGAGGGCTAATAGGACCATCCTGGAAACTGCGCGAGCGCTGCTGATCGAATCAGGGCTGGGGAACTCCATGTGGCCTCATGCGGTGAGGCATGCTACAGTGGCAAGGAACCGCGTACTCACAAAGGTGGCTGATGATATGTGGGTGCCGCTGGAGAGGTGGCTTGGAAAGGAGCCTCCAGTGGACATGCTCAGAGTGTTCGGATGCATGGCAGTGCGCATGTCCCTAAACCGCACAGGACAAAGCTTGGAGCATCTGCACTGTGGTGTGTGCACCTTGGGCTTGCGGCAGAGAGCAAGGGGTGGCTACTCTGGGAGACCTCAAAGAATGTGCTGTTTGACAGTTGGGATGTCAAATTTTGTGGAGAACATCATGTATGGCAAGTGGGAGAAGCAGCCGGAGGCAAGGGTCACCCAGCAGCTGGAAGAGATCACTATGCACTTCGATTTGTCCGAACCTGAGGACAGCGAAGTCACTGCGCCAACGGCAAGCGGTACTGATGAAGGAAGCAATGAGGATATTGCAGCTGATGCTGAAGTCAAGGATCCGGAGCAGCAGCAGCAAGAGGCTTCCAAAACACCAAGTCTGCCAAAGCGAAGGAAACAGATTGGTGGGGGGACAAAGGATTGGGTGAAGGTGAAAGAATGGGTAAATCCAACCATCTACCCTGCACGTACCAGAATGGCAACGAGAAAGCTGCTGAGCTCTAGAAGTGGAGGAGCCACAACTGAGCACCAGGAACAGGCTCAAGGCGAAGATGCAGTGCTGTTCTTGGGTGATGACCAAGAGTCAGATGACGAGGAGCCTGCATACTGCTTTTACGCACCAATACAACCTCCGAGCATGGATCATGCGCTAGCCGGGCCTCAACGGGGGAAGTGGCTCGTTTCAAGAGATGCAGAGTACAACAGCCAGATGGAGAATCACACATGGGACCTGGTGTACTTGCCAAATGGGAAGAAGGCAATACAGTGCAAGTGGCTGGCAAAAATCAAGACGGATGAGAAAGGAGAGCCATCAGTTTACAAGAGCAGGCTGGTGGCAAAGGGGTTTCAGCAGAAAGAGAAGGAAGATTACAAAGAAGTGTTTGCCCCAACTGCTAAGTCTCCAACGCTACGTGTGCTGCTGGCGGTAGCTGCTGTGCGCAAATGGAAGGTGAAGCAGATGGACATCGTAACCGCTTTTCTGTACGGCATTGTGGAAGAGGAGGTGTACATGGTTCAACCACCTGGCTATGAGGATGAACCAGTCGTGTCTGCAAACTTAACAAGGCCATCTATGGCTTGAAGCAGGCCCCGAGATGCTGGTACAACAGGCTGGCCAGTGCACTGGAAGGGATTGGATTCCGTGCGAGTGCATGCGACAAGAGCCTATTCCTGATGGGCGAGGGGGAGTCACTTGTGCTTCTGCTGGTGTACGTGGATGACATCCTGCTCTTCAGCAGCAGTGACAAGGAGATCGATGGGGTGCAGCGGAAGCTCACAGAGCAGTTCAAGTGCAAGTCACTTGGAGAGGCAAGGTACTACCTGGGAATGCACATTGAGCGGGATACTGAACGTGGCTGGCTCAAACTGCATCAGGGACAGTACATCAATACCTTGGCTGAGAAGTACTCTCTGCAGGAAGAACGGGAAGTGGTCACACCTTTGCCTTCCGAGTTCAAACTCATAAAGGCAGCTGAAGGAGAAGGAGTTGAGAGTGAAGACCAGAGGCAATTCCAATCCATGGTCGGGAGCCTACTCTACGCTGCTGTGCATACTCGGCCTGACATCAGCTTTGCTGTGGGACAGCTGGCTCGAGTAGTGCAAAATCAGTCAAAAGGAGTTGAAGTCCTCAAAGAGAAGGGGGAGCAGCTCGGAGAAGGAAAGGTGTTCCTTTCCTGTTTTGCTGATGCCACATGGGCTTCTGAGCATGAGGATTCATCATCAGTTGGTGGATACATCTGCATGGTGGGAGGTGGGCCTGTAAGTTGGAGGTCCAAGAAGCAGTCTGAGACGGCACTTTCTTCAGTGGAATCTGAGTACATGGCGATGTTTCATGCGGCAAAAGAAATCATTTGGCTAAGGAGGCTCTTGAAGGAGATCGACCATGAACAGACTTGCGCGACACCTCTGTTCAGTGACAGCAAGGGAGCCATTGCCATGGCACGCAATGCAGTTCTTCATGGGTTGAACAAGCACATGAGGATCAAGTGGCATTGGCTGCGGAAGGAGGTGAAGCTTGGGACACTGGATCCGATCTACGTGAAAACTCAGCAACAGCCAGCCGACTTCCTTACCAAGCGGCTAGCTGAAGAGCCACACTGGCGCTGTGCGAGGATGGCGGGAATGTCCTTGAACTAGAGACGGCAAAACAAGCCGACAGTCTGAGGGGGAGTGTGTTGGTGCATATTCGTTTGCACGTCATCCTGTCGTCTGTTCGCATCATTTCGTTGCATGTGTTTTGTGTGCTACGTCGTTTGTATGGTTTGTTGGGTTTGCATGTCTTTGCATGTTCATCTTGTGCTTGGGCAGATGTGCTTGGATTGTACATCAGATCGATCGCATTCCAACGAGCCAAGAATTGTTGGAATCGGAGCACATATGAAGAAGTTACGAAGAAATGTTTGATGGATTTGTTACAACTCATTGGAAGTCCTTGGCAGCTGCTACACCAAAGTTGGAGAGCCCTATAACGAGGAGGGACCAGCATGTGTGGGACTTTTGTCCTCACCTTGCAGCTGCAGCATTTGGGGTTTGGAGGCCAACCTGGCACAGTGTGAATTTTGTCTTGCCAGGCTGGTTGAACCTGAGGATGGGGAGTCAAGACTTTGACTCTTGTCATGTTCTTGGGCAAGGGCCTCCAGGGTCCTTCCCTTTTATCCTTCTCTTCCTACCCCACCTTCCAACTGTGCTTCAATGTCTTTTCCATCATGCCTCTGAACTTGTAAGCTTCAATTATAGTGACTCTGAGGACTGTCAATTTCTCCTAGGGCAGATTACCCCCCAGTGCGCCAAACGCCATAGCTCACTCGTTAAGCTACGGAATCGAGTGATTCAACTTTCAGTAGAAAGCTGACGCTGCAAGCTACAACATATCCGATTTTCAGATCGTTTCATCGATTGGAGTTTTGGATATAGCTTTTCGAAGGTCGCGAGTTTTCTAGGCGTCATAACGAAGTGCTGCAGAAATTTCCAAGGAGCCATTGAATCATCTGCTTATAGCCTTCTCTAACCAACAGACATTACTGACTGCCCTTCCCTCAAACTTCACCGAGAACCCGACCATGCCGACTCCTTGCACAAAAGAGGAAGCTCTCTCGGGGCCTTATAAGAAGGAGTGGAAGGCAGCAATGGATGTGGAGAACGAGGCGTTCATTCGCAACAACAGCTTTGACGATGTTGTTCCCCCTTCCAGTGTCAACATCGTCGGCGGAAAATGGATCTTCCGAGTCAAACAACTCCCAGGCAAAGCTCCACTGTTCAAGGCACGATACGTGGCGAAGGGTTTCACCCAGAAGGAGTATCTCGACTTCTTCGAAACATTCTCGCCCACGGCCAAGCTCCCGACTGTGCGCACTCTTCTTGATATAGCCGCTCGCGGCAACTTCGAGATCAAGTCCATGGACGCCTCCTCTGCCTTTCTCCAAGGCCAGCTCAAGGAGGATGTTCACATGGAATGCCCACCGGGGTTTCCTGGCACTTACCCTGCCAACACAGTGTGGAAGCTGAAGCGCCCAGTGTATGGCCTCAAGCAGGCTCCTCGTGAGTGGCACAACAAGGTGAAGGAAGTCCTTCTCGCACTTGACTTCCATCCCTCTGCCTCAGATTCCAGTCTCTTCGTTCGTCACTCCTCCGAGCCCTTCTACATCCTCGTCTACGTCGACGACTTCATTCTAGCCACCAGAGATCCAGCCGACATGGCAGCTGTCCAGTCTGCTCTCAGCTCCGCCCTTCTCATGAAGGATCTTGGTGACCTCAAGAACTACCTGGGGATGGAGATCACTCGTGACCGCCAGGCTTGCACGATCACCCTCTCCCAGGAGTCCTACATCGACAACCTTCTCAAGCGGTTCGACATGGACTCCAGTAACTCTGTCTCCACTCCACTCTCACTACAGCATCAGCTTACGGCCCCTCCAGTTCCTTCTCCTGACGCCTGCAAGGACCCGTACCCTGAGCTAGTCGGTTCACTCATGTATGCCATGATGTGCACTCGACCAGACTTGGCATACCCGGTTAGTGTCCTCTCTCGGTACGTCTCCCCCGGACGCTACACTGCCTCGCATTGGTCTGCAGCGAAAAGGGTCCTCCGCTATCTACAAGCCACCAAGTCTCACATCCTCACTCTTGGTGGTACCTCTCCAGTCAAGCTCGAGGGATACACAGACTCCTCATGGGCCGATGACCAGACTGACAGACGCTCCTCCCAAGGGTACTGCTTCACCCTTGGTAGCGGAGTCATCAGCTGGCGCTCCACTCGGTCCTCTGTAGTCTCCCTGTCGTCCTGCGAGGCCGAGCTCTACG